ATCCCGTGAATATTGGTCGGGACATGTCCCTACCGTCCCTACCCAAACCTACGCCCATGAAAAAAACAATCAAGAGTTGTCACAAACAGAAAACATTAAATATAAACTACAAAACAATAATTAAACCTGTAAAAACAACAAAAACATTAAGAAAAATCAGCCTTTTTATCCAAAGCCGTTGCATCTGCAAAGTTTCTCAAATAAAATGTGAATTTGTTAGTGTTAGTAATGCACCTGTTGATACATTGAGACATTTTCCTTCTTTCCACCATGTGCCCTGTTGCCTAGCAACCGATCCAGCACTGAACAGTAGCTGCTAAAAATGGAGTTTGAGTTTTGTTGCTACTTATTTAATCATTTATTAAATAGGTTACTGAATTCATGAAATAAGGATTTTCTTGTAAAAATAATTAATTTTTTAAAGTAGATGACAAAGTACACAACCGCTTTAAAATGTTAATTTTTGTACCACCTTAAATAAACAGCCACAGTTTTTGTCCTGTTGTCTTGTTTGAATTGTAAATTATTCAAATGTTCAGCATTGAGGAAGAGGATTAAAATACTCTTTGGCAGTACATTTGCCAAAAAGTAAAAATAAAAAATACAAAGTTCCCAGAAAATTTTTTTTGTCTACTTTTGAAGAAAACTGAACATTATCTCTAAATTACAAGATTTAACATGCCATTATTATTTTTTATTTTACCCTAAAATGTTTAGAAAAAAAGAAACTTAAAATCAGAATAATGTGCATGCTCCAAAAAATACCTTTTTTTTTGTTTTTTAGCTAAGTTTGTTTGCATAGCTTTATTTCTTTATAAAGAAACTGAATTTGTGTATTTTATTTTTAATTTCCTGTAATAAATCCATCCATCTTCTTTACACCCTTGTCCCTTAGTGGGGTCGGGAGGGTTGCTCTCCAGCTAACGTTCTGGGCGAGAGGCGAACCCAGAACTTTCTTGCTGCAAGGCAACAGCTCTACCAACTGCGCAACTGTGCAGCTACCTGAATAAATATTTTCAGTAATTCAAAAGAGTTGAAACTCAACCAACAAGCACTCAAATTCTTTGTGAAAACAGTTGGTGATGATGATGATCAAGCAGAAAAACATCAGCGAAGACACTAAATAGGAAAATAACTAATGATGTTTTTTTAAAATATTTCCACATAGGGTTCTGTAAATAAATTAAAATGTTCACATGTCAAAGCAGAGATAGCTGAGGCATGTATCTAAATGACATCTGCCTCGGTGCTGCTGGGAAATCTCTGCAGGATCTGAAAGGGAAAACTGCTGAGGAGCCAAAATAAGCTTCTCCTAAGGGGGTGAGGCGAGGTGAGAGCGGCTGAGGAGGAAAAACAAATCTGTCGGTACAGAGAGGGAGGCCAAACTCTTTCTCTCACCTGTCGAATGATAAATACAGGACACTTTTCCCACAGCAAAATTCAAGCACTTCCAAGGTAAGTTTTGCATTTTCAAGGTAAGTTTTCAAACCTTGCAGATAAAAACAATACAAATTAACTACAAATATGACATAATTTATTAGTCATTACTAATATTTTGTGACAGTATTCCACATCCTACAGTAGGGACAAGTTAAACTAAAATATAACAAAATTATATGTTTTGGAATGTGTCTCAACTGTTTCTTATCTGGTTTGCCTGAAAACAATACAAAACAATCTCTAAAAATATTCTCGCTAAGGTTTCTGGCATTTAATTTGGTAATTCTAACTGACCTAAAACAACAGAAGTGTGGTTTGGTTTAACTGCAGAGAGTGAGAAAATAAATGTTATCTTTCCAAATTCAGGCTCTTAATCCAACATTAGATTGGACTTTATTTAGAAAAAAACTTTGTAGTCTGAATATCAAGCACTTGCAAGGACTTTATATAGAATCAAGCACTTTCCAAACCTTGAAAACACCTACTTTCAAGGATCTCAAGCACCAGTTTGAAAACCAGCTGCAAAAATCTAAGTAATTTCACTCTTATAGATGTTCTCTGCAATATTTTCTGCAGTTGAAAAAGTAAAATGACGTCTGTGTGATCAACAACAACAACAACCGACAGGAGCCTCTCTATTTTCAGTATCTTCAAGAAAAACTACTTCCAAGTCCTTCAAGGACGTCCTGCAGGCTGTGTTCATGCAGCACTATGGATTGAGTTGCAGTGACTCAGCTGCTGATGAAAGATGAGCTTTGCCATGGGGACCACTTCATCTGGATTAGAGCCATACCACAATATGGATATGCAGGTGAAGCATAATTGGTGAAGCTGAAAGACTGTATTTATCACTCAATAACCTAAGACTAGAAAGTAGAACATTTGGGGATCGATAATTTAACCTTAAATGTGCTTAGATGTCTAAAAATGACAATGAAAGCGCTAGAAAAAAGTTAGAGATAACAAAAAAATGTATATGCAGTCATAAGAGTTACTTATGCATAAATATGTAAAAAAAAAAGGCAGAAAAGAAGAAAATACCTATGTTCACGCTAAACCATTAAACACATAAGAGTTAGCTGAAACTAACGCTAAACTGCTAAATACATAAAAAACATTAGCAGATGCTAACGCTAAACAGCTAAGTACATAAAAACATCAACAGAAACTAACACAAAACCACCAAACACATAAGATCATTAGCAGAAGCTACCACCAAACTGCAAAATATATTAAAGCATTAGTAAAATAGCAAAGCTACTGCTAAACCACTAAGAATTAAATTAGCATAAGCTTCTGCTAAACACATAAAAGAATTAGCAGAAGCTAATGCTAAACCACTAACCACACTGAGCAACTTAGCACAAACCAACGCTAACTACCAAACCATTAAAAACATTAGCAGAAGATACTGCTAAGATGCTAAACCATGACAGAATCAGCAGAAGATAACGCAAAACCACTAACCTCATTAACATTAAGCAAATTAGTTGAAGCTAATGCTAAATCACTAATCAAGTAGCGTCTTAGCTTGTGATGAATTGAGGGACTAGCATGCTAACGTTTATGATTTTTCCCAGTAAGACACTGCAGCATTCTTCTCACCTTCTGCATCTGAAGGCCTGGGGGCGGGGTCAGTAATTAGCTCCTCCCCCTTTTTCATCTTGCAGGTGCCAGCGTCCAGCTGCTGCAGCATGGTGGGACACAGCTTCTGGAGATCTGGCCCGTCCAGCCGTGACTGCTCACTGATGCTGTAAATGGCCAGCGTGTCTGCAGGCAAGCACTGGGAAAGCAAACATTGGAACCAATCAATCAATCAATCAATCAATCAGAACAGAAAAACAACAAACCTACTGCTAATTTATTAACATCTTTTCATCAAATACGACTTTTAAGAGTTGCTTAGATTTATTCAAAAGGGAATCAGGTTTCAAAGTAACTTCAGGTGGTGTTTTTTTTAATATACCAACCACTAATCATACATCTATCTGTGCTAAGCCTGTTGCAATAATCCAATAAATTAACTGAAACAAGCGTGATAATTTCCATTTGCATGATTGTTTTTCTTGTGTTTCTCTCTTTTTCTAACAAAAACTGGATAACAAAAGTCTTAAGTTAGGTGCTTAGGCCTCAACTAGCCCGTTTTCAAGCACAACTTTGTTTACAGAGACTTCATAATTAATCTTATTTGTCGTTTCTGTCGTTTTATTTATTTTAGATATTTAAATGTTTACCAGTGATGCCTTCATCTTTTCGAGAACACAGCCTTTTTCCTGGAACAGTTACAAAATCACTGCAGCTTTTGGAGAACAATTTAGGACACGAACAGAAACTCGTGATTTGATCCATAAGTAAAATCTGCAGTTTATTTTGTGTCAGAATCCTCTGCAACATTACATAACTGTTTAAATGTTCCCATTTCCTACCATATTACTTAATATGGTAGGACAGAAGGTTATTAAACAAGTTTAAGAATAGTTTCCAGCAGCTATTTAACTCTATGCAGATGGCTCATATCTGACCGCATTACTGTAGGAAGAGAGCAGTAAGAGCTGCTAGGTCAAAGGTTACAGGTTTGTGTCTTGTTCTTTGAGGTGCCCACCTGTTCAAACAAAAGACTTGCTTGTTTTTATTACCTTATTCCATTACAGCAACACCCAGCTGGGAACAAAATGGAGCTTTTTCTCTTATTTTTCCAAGAACTCAACCTAAATCAATTCAAAAGCAGATCAGCGTCCGTGACACTAAGTATGGGAAATATGAAAACTATGCCTGATTCTGCTCCGACACAAAGCTGGGGAACAAGTCGCTCCTCTTCCTCTGAGATGTGAACATGAAGGAGTAGCTGCAGATTTATTGGTCCAAGCAGAGATCAGATCAGAACCACATGAAGCAAAAACTGAACGTCAGGTTGGAAGAAAAACCTGCAGAATCTTCCAAACCCAAAACGTTTTCCAGGCTCCAAATATCATCATTACATCCACTAGAAATGAATATGGTACTTTAACTAGGCCTGCCATGATAACACATTTTACTGGACGATAAATTGTTCCAGAAGTTATTGTAATAAACAATAACAAAACAACAGAAACAACAAATAAAATGAATTATAAAGTCTCTATAAACAAAACTGTTGGTCAAGAAAGGTTTAGATGAGACTGAAGCAAAAGGGAGAGAAAAGAGAAAAACAATAAATCATACAAATTAAAATTATTGAGTTTGTTTTAAATTAATCACGCGATTAATCTATTTGTTGCTTATAAATAGAGAAATCAGACATATATGGAATTTTTACACGAGCCGGCACTTTAATGCATTAAAAATTTTAACAGCATCTGTCTATCTAAAAGATAAAATTTTGGACATTTTAATTCAGATGAAATGATTAAAGTGAAAAAATATCTATATTTATTTTAATTGTATTTTTGTTTTTATTGTTGCCTCTTTTAAGACCTTATAATTTGTCTTTAGGTATTGTTAATAATGTCTTTCAAAAACACATAATTACTTAGTCGTATTTTCAAATTTCCTGTCAACTTTAAGCATTTTTTCACTCCCGGCTTAGCAAGTTTTCTGGGGGAAACCCTGGATCTGTTTAACCGTTTATATTGTCTTTTCCTCTTTAACAAACCTGCTGACTCACCAAAGATGTTGGAAAATATTTAGCTTACTAAGATTTAGTTTTTAAGTGTCTTTTGAGTCATTGTGATCCATAATCCTGACATATCGTAAAAATCCACCGAGTAAATGTCCTGACTAGAGATAAATAACAGTTCGTACCTTGGAGCTGTTTGTAACTGTTGTCGTCTTTGCCTCATCTCGGCCGTCGTTTGAGCTTTCACTTTGGCTCTGACTCAGCAGCGCCAGGAGGGAGCGCAGCTGAGGCACCGTGATGGTACTGTTGTCTCCGTAGCGGGCCAGCAGGTCCTGGAGAACCTGGGCAGGTAACTGTGTGTCGCTTTGCTCCTGACACGTCACCTGGCCGGCCCGCCAGAGCAGCACGGCCACCACCTGCAGCAACACCGGCTGGGAGAGGAGGGAGGTGATCGTCATAGTGACCCTGCCATGAGGGGACCAGATGGGCATGACTTCTTTAAAAGATGGCGGGTGTTATCTGCAGGCAGGAAACAATGAATCACACGTTTAAAGCTACGCCAGTCCAACTGAAAAACACGTATGAACATATATTCTGTTATAAGGTGACCTATTATGCTCCTTGAACAAGTTGCACAGTGCAGTATGACGTCACAAGTGCAAGATCCCGCCCCCATCTCCCTGCTGGAGGGCAAAGAGCTTTTAGCTAACGACGACTAGCAGTTATCAATATAATGCGCTAAATCTTAAATATATGTGTGATGTATAAAAGAAAAATGGACGCAGTGCTTTGCTACCAATTGTCAACACTACGGCAACAAGATAACAAGGTCAGAAAAAAGTTTTAATTAAGAAATAAACAACGTAGGAGAGGGAAGTAGTTTAGTTACGCTAGCTTGACTATGACATCCATAACATGTAGCTTTGCTGTGGAATTAGGTGTTTTTCAGTTCAGTTAAAAAATAAAAAAAACAACATAAACACCAACTCTGACAGATCACCAGTAGAGCAAGTGTTTAAATTAGTTCATCAACCACCGCAGCGTTAGATTAGCGAATAGTATTGATAGCTATTCTACCACAACGATCACACATTAGCAGCGTTTCTGTCAGTTACCATGGCAACAAGCCTGCGTATAGCGTAGCCGACACAAAGAGTGACAAAAAAAATACGAGTAGTTTTGAGTTATTCTTCAATGTCTTTTTCTGTGCTAGGAGGACAAAAAAACAACAAAACAAAACAAAACAAAAAAAAAATCACAAAAAATTATTTTGTAATTCAAATCAGAAAAACAGTATGGCCACTAATTATTTTCAACTTTGGGATTCTCGCCCATGTTTCTAAAAACTTGGACAGCCCTTCTTTAAATCCAAATAAGCTGCCGCTGGCCTCAACCCCCCAACTCAACCTTTATACTCATGGGAAAATGGCTGCATACAGAAGCGTACTAAACAACTGTATATCTTAGAAAAGCAGAAGTGGAGCCTCCTGCACAACTAACAAAAATGCAACAAGTGGTTTCTGTTGCATTCTTGTCTGTTCCAGCAGCCATTGTACAGCACATACAGTGGTAAAAACAGATGACCAAACAAGCCGAGTTCAGCTTGAGTTGCTAGGTAACAGACAGAACTCCACTGGTGTTGCTAGGTAACAGCACAGCGTGACTCAACAATCAGGAGGTTTTTGAAATGGCTCAATTTCCAGGCACCAAAAGACATAAACTTGTTGTCATTTAACTTGTTCCATAAATTACAGCATGTGAACTGCAGATATGCTCCACTGCTGCAGAACCAATGGAAATTCAAGCTTCCCCAGCAATTACACAATAACGCATTACGTAAATAAAACAGAAACATAAATGGATCCGTTTAATGTTTGATTCATTCAGCTGATGATTGTCTGACCACTACAGGAAACTCACTGAACACTGAGAATCATTTCCATACCATCGTTTGAACCATTAAGATGACAAAAAAAAAGAAACTAAGAAAACAATCCAACAGCAGAGACTGTGACGTCACAAAAAGTAACTATATGGTCACAGCACAGCAGAACACTGTGAATTCGCCCCATAAACGCAATCATTTCCATTTGGACTGAAATGATTAATTGGATTAATCGTATTATTAGTTAGCTTGCATAAATTCTTTTTTTTTTTTTTTAAGTCCTAGCTAGCAGTTTTTCCCATCTGAGGCTAATCAATAATATGTTTTCAATATATTATTTTTTTAAAGGTTTTGTTGGGTTTAGTGGCCTTTATTTGAAAGTAGTTTGACAGGAAACAAGGTAATGAGAGAGGGGGAAGACATGCGGCAAATGTCGCCAGGCCGAGAATCTAACCTGTGACCACCGCCACAAGGACCAAGGCCTTAATATGGGGGTCGTACTTTGCCTCTGCGCCACCACAGCACCCCATATATTATTGTTAATATACTGTATTCTGTTTGGCTGAGACTTCACAATCCATATCATTTATTGTTGCAGTTGTTTAGTTTATTTTGGATATTTAAAATGCTTTCACGTTCCAGTGTTAAATGTTCTTTAGAAATGAAAGTTTCTTGATCTTTGAGGCCAAGTTGCATTGTTCTGCCTTTAGCTTTATATTAGTTAAAAATGACAATATTATCCTTTATCGCAATAATTTCTAGGATAATTTATCTTCAAGCTAAATTTGTTACCTTGACAGGCCTACATATGATCAAAATATCAGTTATCAGCAACGACACATTTTTAAATCAATGCATCCATCCGTTTATTATTATTTATTTTTCCTCCAAAATCTAATTAACCAAATATTATAAGATTTTTAAGACCAGACATATAGAGCGATGTCTCCTCTGTTTAAATATTTTACGTCATATAATTATGTTCAACATAATTAGATTAACTGGAAGATAGAAAGGTTTAAATCGAGTCAGGACATGCAGCTGATGATAATCAGGGTTCAGTAAAGCTGGAAAGGCAACAGCAGCTCAAATTACGCTCCTTACAACCTTGAAGGGACGTTGAACCCTGATGGAAGTTTTAGATGTGCTGCTGAATCTAAGGCGGCTCTGAAAGCAAATGGGTCCCAAAATATCTCTACAGAACAAAAACGGGTGCATCCATCTTGTTTTACTCACTTCCTGACACCAAGTTTGACGCTGAGATTAAATACAAGCCCAGCATTTCTGACCCTGATTCACTTTAGAGTTGCCTGGAGACGTAAATGTAAAGCTGGGCCAAACAAACAGAACCATTCATGTTTGTGCTTGGGATGAAATGCTCACCTTTTTCCTCTGGACTCCCTGGTGGTAGCTGCTACGTAAAGTGCTTGATTCAGTCCGTCTGGGCCGAGGCTCGGACCACGCAGAGCGATGCCCTCTGTTTACTTCGTAGCCGAGACGGAAAAACTGCCTGAAGGGAGCGGATGTGTCTTCGAGATAGAGCTGGACTGTAAATAAGAGATAAACATTAAGGTTAGAAGGAAAAAAGAAAAAGCAGAGCAAGAAACATGAAGTTTGATTCAACTCACTCAGCTTTTTTCTCCTCTATAACATTCAGAGTTAAGCATTATGCCATTCCTGATCTTTTCCAAAACTGTAGTGAGCATTCCTAGTTGAATTGTACCCAGTAATTTTAAAAGGGAAGGACACCCTGGTGTTGTACTCCGGACAGAGAAACATTACAGCCACAAAAATGCAGTTCAGCTGCAATGAAGAAACACAGTAAACAGCAAAACTATCACATTTCTGTGACAGAGAGCAAAGAAAGCAACAATCAAATAAGCCTCCTTTAACAAAAACAGCTTCTTCTTTTTAGCATATTTCTAAAAACAAAACACATTAACTGTCTGCCCTCTTTCTGGATAGCAATTTAAAATGCACTTTCTAGATTAAAGGGGAAAGCAGCATGTAAGGAATGTAACATGTAAGCTCCGGAAAGTACTTTGTTACAGGCTGCAGATTACAGGAAGCACCTTGTGCATTCTGGAAAATAACCGCCAAGTTTAGAAAAACCAACAAGTAATTTTACAACGGATTACTAAAGTAACTTTTATCCAAAAACTCAGAAATATTTTAATTAATCTGAGAAATTAAAAGAAATTCTAGAACTTTTGGAGAAATTTCTGAGCTCCAAAAGTTCAAACTTTTCAATAAAACTTTTTTTATATATTAATCTCAGAACTTTTTTCTCAAAACAATTAAAATTGCTGAGCTCCAAAAGTCAGGAATTTGTTAGAACAAAAGTAAAACATTTTTAGATTAATCTCAGAAATTTGCAAAAAATAAAAAATTGGAAAATTTTAAGAAAATAACTGCTTTTGTTTTTTAAATTAATATCACAAATTTTATAGAAAAAAACTCAGAAATTTCCAAATTCCATAATCAAAAACTTATAAAAGAAAGAAAGAAAGAAAGAAAGAAAGAAAGAAAGAAAGAAAGAAAGAAAGAAAGAAAGAAAGAAAGAAAGAAAGAAGAAACGTGGAAATTGCTGAGCTTCAAAAGTTAGGGAAAAAAAAACTAAAAAAAAGTTTTAGATTAATTTCTGAACTTTTCTAGAAAAGTGTGAAAAGTCAAACATTTTTTGACTTCTACACTTAAAAATGGAAATTTTCTAAGATTATTCTCAACATTTCTGAGTTTTTTCAAGCAAACTTTCCACTCATTAATTTCCAAGCATTTTTCTTTAGCAGAAATTTACTCCTCCTTTTTGTTTCTATCTTCAATGCCCCTAAAAATTATCCCAGGAGTTATTGCAATATACGATAATATTGTTGTTATGCGATTAATTGATTTATTGCTTTATGCGACAGGCCTAGTTTTTCCTTAATTGCTGCTCCGAGTTGTGACGCTTCCTGGACTCCAAACCTGCTCTTCAAGTCTGTATTCTTAGAAAGTTTCTACCACATTTTATCTCGCTGTGAGTCCAGAGTAGCTGTGGACTCAGAAAAACACATAAAAACGGAGAGAAGCCACTGACTGTGATGCGCAGTCAATCTGGATCTGCTGCCACCAGCAGGAAATGACAACTTTATCATCCAGAAAATGAGAATGACGAGCCGACAACTTATAAATAGTGCAACATTCCCACATGCAAGCATGCATGAACTCACTCCAGTCATCATCGGCTTCATCAGCTGACTGAGCAGAAAAACAACCTGGACGTCTGAGGTCAGACACAGCAACAAACATCAAGCAGGAAACCAAAGTATACAGAATGAACAGTATAAAAAAGGTTCGTAATTACTCTCACCATGCAACAAATTCACTTTTTTTAAGTTTCACCACAAAGGAAGAGTTTAAAACTCTTTAAATTGTGAATTAAATTGACAGAATCATTGATAGCTTCAGAGAAGTAGGCTGGTTATGATAAATATTGCTGGATGATAAACTGTCTTGTGATAAATGATAATATTGTTGTTTTGAGACCATTTTCAAATTAATATCCACATAAACTTTAAATTCTAATAAACATTTAAAACTGGAACTGGAAGACATTTTAAATATCCAAAATAATCAAACAAAATAACAGAAACAACAAATAAGATGAATTATGAAGTCTATCTCAACAAACCATCAAACTGAAAACTTTATCATCCAATTTCTGGTAGAAAGAGCAAGAAAACAATAAACGATGTAGATGGAAATTATTAAGCTTGTTTTATCATGCGGTTAATTGCTTTATTGTGACAGGCCTAAGATTGATTTTAAAAATTAGTAGCTCCACTGGCAGATCATTTCACTTATAACGAAACTAAACATTTTTCTCATGTTATAAGTGAAATAATCTGCCAGTGTAACTGGAACAATAGTTATTTACTTAAAAGAAGCTCCTATTTCTTGCTGAAAAGTTACTTATAAGTCAGTTTTGCCTTAGAGCACTGAGGCATTTGCAATGGAAACTAGGCCAAAATACTTTAAGATTTTTGTTTTTGCCTAAAAGTATTCCTCCAGTTTCAATTGCATTCTGCAGGAACAAGAATAACCAGCTTGTGGTCACAACTCTCTTTCTGCAGCTTAAACTCACTTATAAACATCTCTCTGTTCCTAAAGTGCAGATCATAAAATTAGCTAAGAGTCAGCGCAGAGATAATGTTCTTTCTCATCCTTTTGTTTGACTAAAACTCTGTGGCCTATCAGAGGAAACTCCTGAAGGTGCTCATCATGTAAACGAGAGCAGAGAGCCTCCCAGCTGCAGACGAGGTCTCCTCCTGCATCGGGTTTCATCTCAGCTCACTGAACTTCTTCTAAATCTCAGCTACAGCCGTGCCAACACTGAGACTAAGAATCAATTAAACAGGCTGGAGAGGAAATTCACACAGCTTTACTTTTAGGTAATAATAGTGCGCTAATCTTCACTTAAAACTGTTTAAGTGCTGTCAGTGTTCTTGGCAAATTAATTACATTAAGTTTGTTGCAGCCTTTTGCTTTTATGATCTGGCTGCTCAAAAAACAAAATGACCAAAAGTCAAACAATTAAACCTCCAAGACTGAATAACTAGAGATGGGAATAAATACAGATAATGAAACAAGCTGCAAATGTTCTCTCAGTCTTAACTCTTAGTAAATAGAAGTGGCCAAATTTTACAACAGTGTATTAGTTATTGATCTCACTGGAAAAACTTTGGAAAAAATAGTGACAACAGCAATTCCGACAATTTCAAACATTAATTGGAATTTATTGTGAAAACAATAAATTAAAAATTCTTATAATGATAAGAAATTTATAATAAATTATAAATTATATGACAAATGCCCACACCACGCTGCATGTTTATGGCCCGTCTATATTAAAGTGAAAAGGACAAGAACAAAAGGAAAAAATATTTATCTTGCACTTAACCTGTTGTTCACAGGTTGTCATTCACACAGGGGTGTCAAACTCCAGTCCTCAAGGGCCGCTGTCCTGCAGTGTTTAGATGTGCCACAGGTAAAAAACAGTGGAATGAAATGGCTTAATTACCTCCTCCCTGTGTAGATCGGTTCTCCTGAGCCTTGTTAATGACCTAATTATTCTTTTCAGGTGTGGTGCAGAAGAGGCACACCTAAAAGTTGCAGGACAGCGGCCCTTGAGGACTGGAGTTTGACACCCCTGTCACGAGAGGACCCAAATTTGGGTCCTCTCGTATCACGAGATTTGGGTCCTCTCGTATAACGAGAGGACCCAAATTTGCTGTCAGTGTTCTTGGCAAATTTGGGTCCTCTCGTGAATGACAGGTTAACATTTTCCATTTAAGAAAATTAAAGTCGGTCATTAAAGAAAAAATCTCATCCTAAAAATTAGGCCACATTTGTACCATTCTGAACCTACACTGCAAAAACAAAATCCTGCCAAGAATTTTTGGTCTAGAGCAAATGTCTTAGCACACTTGAAATAAGACAAAACTAATTCACACTTTTCACCAAGAAATAAGAGCTTATTTTAAGTAAATAACTCCTTAATATTGACGTTAAAAAGGTACGAGACACATTGACAGATTATTTCACTTCCAACAAGACATTTTTCCCATTTTATAAGTGAAATAATCTGCCACTGGAACTGGAATGACTGACTTAAAACAAGATCATGTTTCTTGCTGAAAAGTTACCTGTAAGTTAGTTTTGTCTCATTTTAAGTGAACCAAGATATTTGAACTAGAAATTAGACCAAAGCTACTTGGTAAGGTTTTATGGTTTTGCAGTGTAACAGTTGGGAGCCACACTTTTCACGCCTCTAATAATTAACATAATGTTACTTTACCTTTAAGGAACAGAAACCCAGAAACCTCCTGACTCCCTGCTGTTGCCTCCACCAAACTGATCAGCCTCCGTCCTCTGAGGATTTCACGTTTCTCATCTTGATTTATATACAACTGCAGGGCAGAGCAGACTGATTCATCAACCCAAACCTGAGACCCTAATTACTGCTTCCCCCATTTCTCAGCCTGTCCCACCTGGAAACCCATCATTAGATGAGACAGTGGTGTTTGTGGCCATGATGTCAGCTCATTGTCTACGTTCTGCACACAGCAACTCCTGTCCAGCTGAAAATTAAAGGCTTTAGGAATGACTGCGGCTAAGTGAAGCGCTCACTTTTACCCCTAGGCCGGCTCTGAGGTCAGTAAACCAGGTAATGGCAGTCGTTGAATATCCACTGATTTGTACTTTAGTCAATTCTTCAGCAACTTTAAAAGGGGGACAGGGAGAAGTAGGTAATGGTTCTAAAGTAGGGAGGCACCAACATGAAAATTTCGTCTGATTTCTGGCAAATCTTCACCTTCTCAAATATCCAATATTAATATTTATGTTTTGGCTGATAAAGGATATTTACCGATATATTTCTCAACCGTTTTGACATTTTTGGAAATAAAAAAGACAAGAATCAGATGATAACAATGTGGAAATAAATACCAGTTGTTGATTTCGACCTAGTTTTAGTTATCGCCCCGATACCAATATGTTAAAAAATTACTAATATCGGCTGATACCGATGTCAGTACTGATGTCTTGTGCATTCCTATTTTAAAGATACAATTTCTATAGTGGCCAACATGTGCAAACCGATATATGTGAAGCAAACACATGAATAATGCAAAACCAAAACTAATGTGAACAAAAAATGTTGCAATGATAGAAATTAGAAGCAAAAGAGAAAATGCTACAAATAGCAAACAAAAAATGCCATTGGCTTATAGAACAACATAATCAGAGCAGCAATTAAGCCAAAACTGTCAAAAAATATAATCATTTTGCATTTAAGATGAAAAACCTTCTTCGTCTGTTAATGTGCTTTACCAAGAACTCCTTAAGTGGGACAGTTTTAGCTTCTCCTGGTTCAAAGTCTAAAAAAGGCACCTTTTGCAACCAGTTGTTAATCTGAAAAAATAATCAACAGACTAGTGGACAGTTTTTTAGCTGCTGATGCATCCTTTGAAATAAACGATAACGCATACACCAAAGAATAGTAAAAAAAGAGGCTTGAGTAGTTAAATAAAAAATGTGCAGAATGTGCCAATTTCTTTATCTACTTAATCGGCAGAATAATCAATTAATAAAATAATCATTAGATGCAGCCCTAACATGCAATGATCTAAATATAGTACTGGCATCCAGAGTTTGCAGAGCAGTAAAAACTTTGATGCTTCTCTGCCCGGATTTCTAATCATGCAGCCAGACAGAGATTTAAGGAGCGGCAAAAGCATGAGATGGATTAGGAGTGTTTGCTATCTACTTATAGTTTTATCCCAGTTATTTAACTGTGAAATATCATCTTTGATATTAAGCAGTTAGCATGTCATGGCAGTCATGAGCCTGTACAGCGAGGTCTGTCACAATAACTAATGTTGCTGGATGATAAATTGTCAATGGAGTTATTGCAATAAACGATAATATTGCACACATTCTCAAAGATCATTAAACTTTAAATTATAATTAACTTTTAACCATGGCTGGGGTGTGCTGTGGTGGCGCAGGGGTTGGGCACAACCCACATACGGAGGCCCCAGTCCTCGACGCGGCTGTCGCAGGTTCGATTCCCGACCTTTGCATCCAGGATCATCATCTACAAACACTCTGAAGATATCTTGATTATACTACGTTTAATTTTTCTTTGGGTTAAATCAAACATATTTACTGTAAATTAAATTAGAATTTATACTGTGTATTTTTAAGTATTTTTCCATATTATTTCTTTTCTGCTAAATGTCATCCTGCTTTGACTAACTGTATAACTCTACTTACTGTTTTTGTTTATAGCAATTATTTTTTTAAAACAGTCTGCTTTTCTTCTTCTGTGTAGCCAAATTCAGCTAAACAATGTAATTTATGTATATATTATTCCCAGCAAAAAAGCGTCAGAGTGTGTGACTGGTAGATCTGTACGTACTTTTAATCTGAAAACACTTTTCAGCAAAAAGAACATCGATAGTAGAATAGAAGTAAAAGAACTGATTATGCTTTGTTATGCTAACTCTAAATCAACACATCTGATTTAGCTACTGTCGTATATTTTATACTTTAGGCGGGTATATTATGTCTGCCTTGTTAGCATATAATAAAAAACGTCTTAAGTCAGTACAAAGCTTGAATCAGGGTCGTAGGCGCCGGTTAGCCTTGAGTCTGATAGTTAGCTTACCCGGTGGTGATGATGGGAGAGAGCAGGCTTTGACGTCAGCTCCTCTCAACCGCAGCGTCCACGCCAAACATCCACGGTAACAGTAGAGACAAAAAAAAACACGTCCAGTGGGAGCAAATCCCGTCTGCTTTCATTCATTTATCTCGCTCTCTCTCCCCTGACCTCCGTTTCACGACCAAACACAACAGGACTGGAGGATGTCCTGATAGGCTCAGTTTCCGTGGTGACGTCGATAGTTTTCTGCAGGATGGATTTTGGTGACTGTGTCGCCACCAAGCGGTTGAAATACGACATTACAATAACTATGTATTAGTGCAGAACTGGGGTGTCCAAACTTTTGGTCACGTGGGACAAAATTGTAAAGTCAAAAGTACTTGTGGCCCAATTTTTTTTTTTTATAAAACTACGTAAATTCACTTTCCAACAATAAACTCAACATACATTAAATCAATTATTATTTTTATTTTTTATACTTTGTTTTTTTATTGTTTGTATGAATGAGAGCTACACACTGCCACATATTTTCCCTTTGGGATCAATAAATTATCTGTCTAATTAAACAAGCAAAGAATTAGGGTTTCATTTTATAAAATTTACGTTTAAGCCACTTTGGGTTAAAACAAATTAAGAGTTTTCCAGGTTGTTAAAAGAAAAACATCCAGTTTGCCAATGCTTTTGGGCTCGAATAAAAAAGAACAACTAAAGAAAAATATTCCAACTATTCTCAGCAGGATTGGGTCTTTAAAAATGTGTGCTGTACCAAGCAAAACTTAATAAGTTAAATGAAAGCAGTTAATAAATTTGGTCCCACTATGAAAATAAAGAGAAAGTAATAAAAATTGTTGTTAAAAGACAAATACTTTGTGTTGTGCTTAATATTTCCATTTGTAGACATTTTTTATGTCTAATTTTTAAAATGCTAAATTTAGCTCAATGCTACTTTTAGCCTTCACATTTCACAGCAAGTAATTGTTGTTTTGGGGTTTATGTGACTGGTTTTACCCAACCAGTTAGTTGGTTAAACAAATGCTAGGCAGTGCTATGTGTTTGTTTTAAATTATTTTTGTTTCATTTGGGGTTGTTGTGCTGCATGTTTTCCAGATTTTTTGTTGTTGTTGAGGCTTGGGTTGTCACCCATGACGATGCTCACTGTGAGCTCACACAGGTGTTTTCCATCACCCGTGTGAGCTGAATGGTGAATGGGGACATAAAAGGAGCAGGTCATGAGAGGATGAAGACAGAAGAAGGAACGGACAGAGGACTGGGCAGAGGGATGCAGCTGGCAGCGGCCAGGAAGAAGCCAATCTGCCGAGTAACAGGAGATGAGCTGGGCTGAGACGTGAATCTGATTGAGTTTGCATTTTCTGCCTCATGGAGTTCAAACAAGGTCCCAACAGCCCACACATCCACACTGGTTCCCTGGTGTGGCAGGGAAATGCATATACTGTCCTGCTAAGATTCTGTCCATGTTTAAATCTCAGGGTTGATTCTACAAGTCACCTTTTTATGAGTCAGAGCGACAAAGATGAAAAGAAAAAAATAAATATTACATGGTCCTATTGACATGCTTAGGTATTCTATTATTATTCTATATCTCCATATATTTTTTTTTTAGACTCTAGTGGCCTTTTTATTTGATAGTTAATTGACAGGAAAGTGGGTAATGAGAGAAGGGGGAAGAAATGAGAGAAGGGGGAAGAAATGCAGTGAAGGTTGCCAAGGCTGGGAATTGAACCTGCAACAGCTGTGTTGAGGACTAAGGCCTCCATATGTGGGTTGTGCTTAACCCCTGCGCCACCACAGCACAACCCTATCTCCATATATTTATGTATTAAAACATCTTAATATATTGTAAATATGGCAAGTGGGGAAAAACAATTCTCTATTTTTCTGGGGTAGTGTGAAATTCAGCATAAAAAGTTAAACGTAAATATTTAATATGAAGGTATTTTCAGGAAAATCCTGGATGTTTTCATATTGTTGATAATGGAAATCTGTTTTTAATTCCAATTTTGACATGTTGAAATCTGTGAGTTTGATATGACTGGTTTTATCTTTGTAGTGTTTTTATTTTTTATTTCTGTTAGACTGTAATCACACTCGTTCCAGGTGCATTGCTGTTGTTGAAATTTGGTTGTCAAAGCTCAAAATTACGTGGCTGCAGAGCTAAACAGCTCTATTGAGATCCGTTTCTCTAATATAAGAAATATTTATCTATATATAATGTATGATTATATTGCATCATATAGTCATGCATAGTACAGTATTTATATACATATATGTATATTAGCTATAATATTCTGTATATTATATTTTATATAAATATATCTGTTGTAAAATCATATTAATTTCATAATTTGTATATTACATCCCTATGTATTATATTTGAAAATATTTTAATTTTATATTTCTAATTATTTTATATCTGTAAGTATTTGAACTGTTTTCCTCCTTCAATGCAAAGTAAATATAAATACGTCAACAAATTTGCTTGTTTTTACTAAATTGCACATCATTTAGGTGTGCAATTTGCATATCCACGCATATCCAAAAGCGAGAAACAATCTCCGAGTTACGTCCACCAGGCAAACACCAAACCCTTATAACCATGCTTATAACCCTCAACTCAGGTATTTGGAACACGAAGTGTGTGGGTGGCGCATGCGTGATACAAAATATACAACGACAAAATGATATTAACTTGTTTTTCAAAATTTTAAACGGAATATGTTTAAAAATATTTGCTAATTACGTAATATACATTTTATATGAACGAAAAAAATATTTAGAAAATAATCAACATCTTCCGATGACGTAGTGTCGTGAGGCGGAAGTTGTTTTAATCGCGGAAGTGAAGTGGTACAGTAGTGCTGTTGTTGAAGCTGACCATAGAAATCACATTTGGGATTCTTTACAACGTTCACGGTTTATTTATTTATTTTTGCTTTATGTAGGTTTCTGAGAGGCTCACGTTCTCGGGTAGACCAGGTAAGAATGAAAAAAAAATACCGTTTCTATTTTCTAATTGTTTATTTTCTGATCAAACCGTTGATAAAGTTGACGTTAGCTAAGTTAGCATAGCTAACTCGACGTCTTTCGGAAACATTGATCACCTCCTCAGGGACACGGATCGATAGAAGGACCGGGTATACACGGCTGAAGCGTATATATATGCCACCCGTGTTGTTGTCATTGCGCCAACATTTTTCCAGAAGAGGTGAAGGGAAGGAGAGTGGGGTTGGAAAAATGTTTGGATTTTGTTCTGGAAAGTTGTTTAACTAACCAAGCTTTATTTTGACCAAATGTGTTAAATATCGCCTTTTGTGAAAGGAACAGAAGCGCGTTGTTTCAGTTATAATTTTATTTCAACTTGCATTTTTTTGGTGTTTGTTTTTAAATCTAACAATTCTTTATTTTAAACTACTTCATAGTGCAAGTATGCTAATATAATTTGTGTAAACAAGCCCAATGAAATTAGACTAGTATCAATGTTAAATGCATGATCCCATTTAATTTTAAGTATTTAAAATGATTGGTTTCCTGATTTGATGAAAATCACAGGACAGCAGATGAGTTTTATTTACACAAAAATATATTGTCCTTAAGCTCATGTTAACCTTGATATCCCACACTTACAGGTGCACGTTAATAAACTAGGAAACACTGACAATGAAATTAGTTAATAGGTAATCAATCAATCAATCAATCAAATTTTATTTGCATAGCACATTTCAGCAGCAAGGCATTTCAAGGTGCTTTACATAATTAAAGAAAAAAATAAGACATTGAATAAAGAGAAAGAGATTTTTGGAAAAAAAAAAGATTAAAAAAGATTTTAAAAAAAGATGAAAACATACTTTTGTTATGGAATTTAAGCGCCTGTCGTCGCCAGACTCCGCCGTCCGTTTAACATGGATATTATCCAGGCCCCGTCACCTGACAGGACGGAATTTACAGATTTTTAGTCAAAATGCCATTTGACAAGGATTCTTAAACCTCAGAGTTTTAGTTAAAACGCCAAGTTTGTATAGGTAATGTCACTATACAAACGGTTGCTTTTGTTCATTTAATTATTATAGATCAAACTAATTAAAATCAATACTCAGTTTCTCTGAACATAGATCAGACCAGTAAATAAAACATTTTAATAAAAAAATACTGACAGTTCAGCAGTCATTGATTCTCTCCACAAAGAGAGAAAGTCACAAGAGGTCATTGCTAAAGCAGTGTGATGTGTCCAAGACTTATGATGGAAAGTTGAGTGGAAGGAAAAAAGTATAATGTAATAATAGCTTGTCAGGTATTCATAAACTTTTGTCTGCTGCCACTCCTAGTTAATAGTCTGAGCTCAAATTTATAGTAGCTACTTGTATTTAGTTCTCATTTGTGACCTTAGGTGAGAGCTGGAACGTCAACAGACCAGTAACTTGGTCTAAGAATTCATCACTCTGGTAGAAAACATCAAAACACTTTAACACTTTAACTCCTCTAACTCCTCCCCACCTTGAGGCGACATTTCCACCCCAACCTGGAGGGAATAGTCCACCCACATTTTTGGCAGTACAAGCCAAAAATGGTGAAAACTTATGTTTTGTAATACAAATAATGCTTTTAATGGTGCTCTACTGCTCCTTTTATCTCTGCCACACCCTCTTAATCTAAACCGTTTACAACTAACTGTCCCTTCGACCAGTTGGGAGTATAAAAGCTGCACCTGCTGATGGACGATTCATGATGTAATGATTCTTAGTCAAGGTGGAGAAGGTGTGGTCTCACATCTGTCTTTGATTCCAAGCAAATTTACATAACAGGATTATTGTTTTTGATCTTCAGATACAAAAAAAGAAATTCTTAACTGAGGTTGGCCTGTTTGTCAAATGAACGACTTTGTTGGAAAGATGTGTAAAAAGTTTAAAAATGAGTGGTTACTGTAGCATTAGCTGACCATGACATTAAAACAAAAAACAACCAAGTGTAACTTTTATTGGTCTTAAAGAGAAATTTAATGTTGTAAGTCAAATTTTACAAGTTTCTTCAAAGAATTGTAATAAATGTTGATGGCTGTGGGAGGAAAGGATCTCCTGTAGCAGTCTGTATTACAGCGGTGAAGATGTTGAAAGTCAAAATTATTGATAGTTTGATCTAAAACACATACAAAGATAACAGTTGTACAGTCAATCAACAACTGCAATCAAGATTTAAAACAAAATCAAATCGAAATAATAACTGTATAGATCAAAAGGTGTAGGCTGAAGGTATTCAGTTTATATTCTTATCCTTACATTTTCATTACAAACAAAACATTTCCACTCCTCACTGCTTTAGTGTTGCAAATATTAACAGAATACAGAAAATCAATAATTAAATCCAGACAAGAAAAAAAGAAACAAAACACAAATTAAAGAAGTAAGTAACTCACCATCATGAAGGTTTCAATCAGATTCTAGTTTTCAAACATTTTATGTTTTAATTCCCTTTTAAATTGTGTTATGTTATTAATTAGTTCCAGATCCCAGCATCAGAGATACACATACTTTTTAATGTATGTAGTAAATTTCCCTCCTAGCTCATATCTTCCACCCTTTTCCTTAAGTAATTTCTGAATATTTTTATGGAGCATGTTATTTTTTTGCTTTGTATGTTATTTGTGCGGTCTTAAATTTTACTAACTCTGCAAACTCTAATACTCCCCATTGTCTAAAAAAACATTGGTGTGGCGGTTTACTACCCTTAAAGCTTTTGTTTTTGCAGAATATAAATAGGTTGGAGGTTATTTCAGTTATTTCCCCAAACCTCTACATAATATGACAAAGGGAGTAGTAAAAGGGAGTTGTATGAAGTACATAATGTACTGTAGGTCCAGTTTTCCCCCAACATCATTTACATGAGGTTTCCAACTACAGTTTTGGTCAATATTTCCATGTACCCTTTCCAGCCTAATGTTTATGACTTTGTCTCTCATAATGGTGACTTTAAAACCTGTATTAATGACTTCCTGTTGGGCTTTTATTTTTTGTTTTGTGGCAGAAATGAGCTTCCTTGTTCCAACTGAAGCAGCACTTCCGCTAAACATGAATGTCTTGCATGAATGAGCAACCATTTAATCACTAAGACAGCAACATCATGATGACTAAAGTGTTGGAAAATCGACAGCCAGACTCCCTCTTTCTCTCTTTCTTTTAAGTGTTTGTATCCACTGCAAGACAAAAGTGCAGAGTGTTTTCTAAAACGGCCAACAAGGGGCCAGATAACCTGATTTTTAAGAAAAGAAGTAACAAAATATATTCATAAATTTACTGTTTTATTTTACTTTTATTTTTAAGCAAGGATTTCATTTCAGATTTGACTAATTCTCAGATCTCGTTAGGTGTAGCTATTAAGGACGCAAGTTATCAATTACTGATCTAATCTAATAATTAATTGATAAGCGGCCATTTTCTTAGAAATATGAGTTTTCTTTTGTATCAAGAGGGTCATCCATTTTGCATGTCATTAAGGGCTAATATGTTGAATGTTTTTTCTTTAAAGCTCATCATTAAATTTGAACATCATTTTGTGTCAGTTGTATTACATACTGACTGAATAAACTGAAAATTCTGGATTTCCCTCATTGTTAAACTGAGACATATTTATAAAATATAACCAAAGACCTCTTAGATTGCTGAATAGAAAGATGAATATATATATATATATATATATATAAACACTTACCTGGTGAAACTTAAGGGGCTTGTTGAGTGTTTATATTTCAAAACAGAACCACTTTAAGTCCATTTTGCATCTCAAACTGGACTCCGTTTGGATAATTTCTCTTTACCATTCTGTTGTGGCCGCCATCTTTGTTTCTCTATCAACTGTCTCCAGTTCAGGACGACCGGCGGCGCCCTCTTCTGCTACACTAAAAGACAGTCTAATTAATCGGTTGGAACTAATTTTAGTTTAACAAACCATTAATCGTAAGTCGATATGAACCAGCGGTATCAGTGCATACTTGTGTCAAGCAGCTGCCCTGTTTCTCCAGTCTGTCAGGTTGAGCCGTTAGCCGACATGGCGGATCACACGGATATCAGCTTGTCGCCGGAAGAGCGAGTCCGTGCTCTGACCAAAAGAGGCAGTTCGGTGGAAGTCAACGACGACGTGCCGCCGCGACGCTACTTCCGCTCCGGCATGGAGATGATCCGAATGGCACACATCTACACCGAAGAGGGAAACATCGAACATGCCTTCGTACTTTATAATAAATATATTACGTGAGTTTTTTTTTTTTTTTAATTAAGTCCGAGATTTGTCACATAGACCACTTTCAGCAATCACCATAATCTTGTTGGTTGTTTTATTTAAAAATAAAGATGTTAACCTGATTCTTCTGTCTATTTTAAGGCTTTTTATTGAAAAACTTCCCAAACATCGGGATTACAAGACGGCAAACATCCCAGAGAAAAAGGACACAGTTAAGGTGCCCAAAGAGTTTGGTGTTTTGCCATTTATCTGTTTGTGTCTTTTTTTTTTCTTTTCTTTTTTTGTGGAAAACCTACAGCTTATCTTTGTGATTCCTCAACAGAAACTCAAAGATGTGGCGTTTCCTCAAGCAGAGGTTCTCAAACAGGCTCTTTTAAAAAGATTTGAACAAGAATATGCGCAGTATCTGGTCAAAAAGGTAAGATGAAGCACCAGTCTATCACAAAAGTGTTCATTCCTCTGAACACTTTGTTTTACATTTTATCAGTTTATTTGTATAGCATATTTTAATAAATAGGGTAATTCGAAGTGCGTTACATTATCAGAATGGAAATATAACCACAAACGAGCAACAACTTTACATCCAGTGGCAAAATAAGGGAAAATGACATCAAGTTAAAAGATAACTACTCTTTAAGATGTTATAGTTATTATGAATCAAATGGAAAATGAATCTGGCCGGGGCAGACTGGGACCGTACCAGTTAGAGGCAGTCTACCCGAAAACCAATGGGGTTTTAACCTTGATTTAAGAAACTCAGTGTTTCTGCAATTTTTAAGTTTTCTGGAATTTTGTGCCAGATTAGAGGAACATAAAAACTGACTTTTGTCATCCAGTTTTTGGTAGAAACGGGGAGAGAAAACAGAAAAACTATAAATAAAGCAAATGGAAATTTTTGAGCTTGTTTTAGTTTATTGTGCGATTAATTGATTTATTGCTTATTGCGACAGGGCTAGTTTTGTCTTAACTGCTCTAAGTGGGGGTGGGTATTTATTGTATTCTTTATTGTGATTAATTTCTTATCATAATAAGAATCTTGATTAGTTGTTGTCACAATAAATTCCAATTAATATTGTTTAAAAAAAATCATCCTTATCATCAGGTTTCATAGTTTTACCATTTTCTCCACTGTGTGTTGAATAAATATCAATACACTTGAAAATTCAGTTACTCTGAGCAGTTTAGTGATGCAAATCACACTGGTGTCCTTAAGAAACGGGAAATTACAAATGGGAATGTTTTTTAGGAGCAGTATTTGTGTTTGTGGGGCTAATAATTGCTGTGGCACACAGTCACCTAAGAAGATATAATAAATTACTCTTGTGTCACTTTATTCTTATCACAATAATGTAGAAAAATATCTCTGAGTGAGATGTTCTTTCAGCAAATGGCCTTTTGGAGAATCTGCATACTCCAGTTAATGATTACTAAATTATTTAAGGATTATTTAAAAAATAGATCAGTTATAACAATTGTGATTAATACTGATTAATCGATTATTGAAATAATCAGTTACTGAAGTAATCAACTAATTCAGTCAACTAATCATGATTAATTAGATTTTAATAATCAGTTAATTAGGATTAATCGCAATTAACCATGATTAATCATGATTAATTGTGATTAATCAAATGAATCATCTCAGTACTACAAACTATGAGACCAGACCTTTCGCTCAGCTGTGGTCTGTCATACCTGCAGAAAGCGGAGGAGGAGGCCCTGGCGCTGGAACAGTCCAGGCAGCGTGCGCTGGACGCCGAGCGGGAACGTGTCGCCGTAATGCAGCGGCGGCAGCGGGAGCAGGAGCAGTTCAGTGCCTTCGAGGAGATGATCCGTCGCCAGGAGCTGGAGAAGGAGCGTCAGCGAGTGCTTCTGGAGTTCGCCACGCCGTCCGCGCCTCCCGACAACACGCCCCTCATTCCTGGCATCCAGGGCCCGCCCTTGGTGTCCCCCACCATCCCGCTGAGCCCCAGCGATTTCGGCGCCAACGACTATCAGCACCATCGGCCTGCTGCTACGCCGGGCACGCCCGTGGCCGGACCGCCCACCTTTGACCGCACGCTCAAACCCGGGTCTCTGGTCAGCCCTGGGAGCAACAGTGAGTTAATAGTTTCTTTTCCCCAAGCTGCTGTAGTTCCTGTTTAAAATAAAGATGTGCTGATCCGATATTAATATCTGTAGAGGTCCTGACATTGAAAAAATTATAGAACAAGCTTCATGATAAAAGGGTTTCATATAGGTAAGTTTTCCCAGAAATTATTGTGATTAATAATAATATTGTTGTTTGGAGACCATTTTTAAGTAATACAATGAAAGGAATAATAATGCAAGAACACATTCTCAAAGACCAATAAAGTTTAAATTCTAATGATCTTTTAACACTGGAACTGGAAGACATTTTAAATATCCAAAATAAATGAACAAAACAACAGAAACAACAAATAAAATTAATTATAAAGTCTCTGTAAAACAAAATTGTCCTTCAAAAAAAGGATAGCAGCAGACTGAAATTATTTTTGGTAGAAAGAAACAAACAATAATTTATGAAAATGTAAATTATTGAGCTTGTTTTAATTTAACATGCGATTAATTCATTTATTGCGACAGGTCGAGCGAGAATTATTGATCAGTTTTATGTTTTAAATATCTGAAATATTACCAGTCTGATGGCGCGATCTTTCCTGTTTTATCCCGTTTTCTCTCCATGTCATTGTTTTTTATTTTTAAGCAGTTGAGGCAATGTAGCAAAACCTAAAATCTGCTGCTGCGCCAGTTACTCCACAAGTCGTTGCTAGGTAACCAAAGTTGGGGGGTGGGGAGGGCACTGCTTGTTACCCAGCAGGTTGTTGCTAGGTAACCACAGATTCCACCAACTCACTCTGGATCAGAGTTCAGTGAATATTCTATCTATTATCTACTGATATTGATCACATGTCTATCGCGATATATATTGTTATTGATTTATTGTCCAGCCTTAAGTCCGGGTGTCTGTCACTATGTGCCTGATCCATCAGGGAAGATGAAGCTGTTGGTGTCTTAAAATGTCCTGTGCTGGTACAACGTTGTCAATAAATTTGTAATTTATGTATGTGTTTTACAAAAAAGAAATGTTTTCAGTCAATTCAACGCTGCTTTTCTGTATCAGATCGGTATTGGGCGATGCTAAACCTCAGATATTGGTATTAGAAATGGATAAAATGGACAGACTTTCCATTCAGCTGCTGTTTTCCTCGTCTGTGTGGTTTTTGCAGGTACGATGGTGGATGCCCTCCGGCAGCTGGCCGTTCCTGCTGAGCTGTGCCGCAGCTTCCTGAGGCTGGCTGAGGCCAACACCAGCCGCGCTGTGGAAACTTGCGGCATCCTGTGTGGAAAACTGGTAAGTCTAGGGAACACAGCAGCTCACAATTTGTTTTATTAAATTTCTCAATGAAATTTGCACATCTTAAAAGTTTACAGTGCTTTGCACAACTATTTATAGCCGTTAAAAAATCTGTTGTAAGGCCAAATCTGCTGGTATGTCCTCTAGAGAGACAAAGTACAAAGTATTGATTCAGAGAGGGTAAAAACAAATACACCGAATAGTGAAATGATTAATCATGATTAATTGATTATTGAAATAACAGCCAACTAATTTAGTAATCGACTAATTGTTAACTGAAGTATTTTCAGTCATTTGCTGAAAAAAAAATAACCAGAGCAGCAATTAAAACAAAACTGTAAAAAAAAATTAAAAAATGCATTTTGCATTTAAGAAAAAAAAAATTCTTAAGAAAAAAAATTGTAACTGACTGAATATTCTGTTCTTTAAGAAATATTTGCGCCACGAATCCCGACATATTCGAGATGTTGCCAGTTGCTATGACAACAACTATGTGTGTAGCGTAGGCGACACAGAGAGTGAGAATAAAGAATATGAGTGGTTCTGAGTTGTTCTTCAACGGTTTTTCTGCGTTATTTTTTTCTGTTATTTACAGACCCCCTGGATATAATAAGGACTTTTTGAATGATTTTTCTGAACTGTTGGCATATGTTTTGCCTCTATATGATCAAGTTCTTATTGTTGGAGATTTTAATATTCATGTTTGTTGCCCGGACAAACAGATGGTAAAAGATTTTTTAAATTTGATTGATTCTTTTAATTTCATTC